CTCGACGCCTCCCTCGTCTCGGCCCTGTCGGTATGACGTCGTCTTTGGCCGAAGGTCGCCCGACTCAAGTACTTCAGGCTTGCTTAAGTTCTTAAGCTTGTAAAACACCAGCCCAAAGGACCCGGAAATACAAGGTGATCACCTTTTGTTGGCGTAAAATTGGGCAAACACAGGAAAACCAAAGGTCAAAAGAGTCAAAAGGTCGGCTACAGGGAACTGAGGAAGTGAAACAACATATCTGATTCAAATTGCTACAACTCCCCAATCTGAATACACAATCCCAATATAGCTTGCCTTCATTCTGCCTGGATCTCCTTTTGCCCCAGGTGAGCTTGCATGAGATAGCACATGCCATTTGCCCACAGTTCCCGCCTTCAAGCAGAAATGATTCTGACAACTTGGAGGGATGCATTCCTAGATTGTCAAACAAGGGCCCATCCAAATTGATGGTCTCCCGTTGTTGCCCCTGTCCCAGGCCCAGTGACCCTGATAGAAACATGAAAGCCCTTTTCGGGGTTGACCATTTTGCATTGGGACACCAGTTCAATACCAAAAAGGACAAAGAGGTGCCGCTGGGTCTCGCTGGGTGCAAGGGAAAGCAAAACAGGTGCCATGTTCAGAGATACCCTCCTGCAACCACGTCGAGACCCTGAAATTGAAACCGGCTCCATGGTGGCGAGGGTATCCATCCCTGTTTGCGCCCACCGAGGGCCATTTTTCACCTTCAGGGGGAGGGTGGGGTCCAGACTTCCCTACAGAAGGGACTTGCTCTTTCCTGCCGATCGCCCTTTGTAGATTGCAAAAGGTTTAAATCCAATGGAATTGCTTTTTTGCTTTCCAAGGGCTCGGTCACACCAAAGACCAGCCAAGGGGGGCTGGGGACCCGGAATCCCCTGCCTGAGGTGTTCGGCTGGGCGTGCGGCTGGGCGTGCGGCTCGGCGTTCGGCTGGCGGTGCCGGACTCGTCGTCCAACTGCTCGGTGAGCCACCTGGGCGTATTGTTTGGACCATTTTCGTCTAGGGGGACCTTCCATTTCCATGCGTTCCAGTGATCCTTCTTTCTAGAAAACCATCAGAACCCCAGAAGAAAACAGCAAGTTTTTGGAAAGAACGATCGTCGAAAAGAATGGGGAATCAACCCCTAGAATGTTCACCTTGATCCAAATGGAAACCAGAATCAAACAGAGGCACTTGGGGGGTCTTCTTTTTGACGCCGACATTCCCACCTGGGCAGTCCAAGGCTGCCTGACTTTCATTGGCTAAGCTTGAGCCCGGATTCGAACCTGGTGGATTCAGAGCGAAGGCTTCCTGCTAAACTGAAGGTGTCAATCCAGATTCGCACCTATTTCTCAACCGAGGGGGTTTATCAAGCCTGGGTCAGGCCGCCAGGTTTCGCACCTCATCACCCCAAGAGGAAACTCTACAAGAAAATATTGGAGCCCCTGCTCTACCAAGCTTTCAAAGGGCTGTGGAGCGAGTGCTGTAATGTCGCTTTAGGGAAAGGAAGGCAAACTTCACCTTTCGAGACAAAGCCCAAACACTGGGTGCCAAACAAATGGTCCGGAAATCATCCCATCCCCTTCTGGGGTCCCCAACCGTTTTGACAGAGCACCCCCCCCCCGGCCCCTGCCGCCCCAAGTGCTGGATAGCGCGGTCCATGTTCTGGAAGGAGCCGCTGGGCTGCAAGGGCTGCAGCTTCTGCAAGTCTTGCAGGTACCTGCTCTTCAATACGCAACCAATCCGTACTGTGGATGGACGAAATCCTGGAATGATGATTCCCTGGCAAATACCAACAAAACAATGGTTTCCCATGGTTTCAATTTGGTGCAGGAGTTCGCCCACAGTATGCCAGTGGATCCCAGGCGTCTCGCCGGTGTAGGTAGCCAGCAAATGTCCATTTGGCTTCTGGAGGCCGGTTTCCTGGGTTCACTCGGTCTCACTCGGACCGGCCCCTTTCGTAGCCCAGGGCAAGCATGAAGGATTCCCTTTGAATGAAGCACAGCGGCCCAAACCCATTGACTTTTTGTGGGTATTTGCTCCTTTCCTGAAGAATTATCCTGGCGGTGCTTGCGGGTACTTGGCGATCTACCTGAAATCCTCCTAGGATCAAAGGGTCTTCAGGCTTCCGGCTCTTGAAAGGGGCTCCAGGCGGAGCGGGCAGCACGGATCTGCAGGATTCCAGAATTGAAGGAAGCCACCGGCACCGTTTGAAGCGAATGAATCCTTGTGACAGCTCAGGTCGGTCTCCAAATGAAGTGACCCTCATGTCAACATTTATCCAAACTCACTTGTGCAACAGACCTGGTTAGCAACCTTCCTTTGACGCCCAATTCTACCGCTGACCATTGATTATCACAACAGTTGCTACCCCCCAAAAAAAGGTTCATAAAAAGGGGTGAGCCTTGACCTCCATTTTTTTCTGGCAAACAATGTCCAGTAGTGAAACCAATTCCGTTAAAACCAACAGGGGAAAATAAGAAGTAACATATTTTCTGAAACGCAAATGAAAGTCACCAAAGTTGCTAACCATAACAAGGCTCCAAGCTTCAGTGTGTTTTAAACAAAACAAACAAACAACTTTATATATATATATATAGATATAGATAAATAGTACAATCAAACAACACAATCTTGATTTTTTAATTAACTTAAAACGAAAAACGGGTGAGCCTTCACCATACCGCTCCCCCAGCCTCTTGTCGCGCCTGGTAGTGGCCAGCTTCTCTAGCGCCAGGCGCTTGCACTGATACGACCTCCCGACCCGCCCGCGACCCGCCCGGGCTCTGCGCGGGGGCTGCTTTTCGGGGCTCGGTTCTCCCCAGGGCTCTTAACCCCTGGCCATAAGCTCGGCAAAGGACTCCGCCCCACCAGTGGTTCTTCATTTGCACCAAGCGGGCCAGGAAACTCCAAGGGAAATTGCGGGATGCATCCAACTCAAGGAACTATAAGGAATCCTCGGCAGCTTTGCGGCCCAGAGAAGACGAACCCCAAAACCCACCTAATATCCTCAGGTAGGATTTGGGTGAACCTGGGCCTTATGGATCCCCCCGGTTCTTTCTCGTTCTCAGGGAATAAGCTTGGAGTTTGGGAATGACTCTATGCATTCTCTAGGAAGCCACAAGGAATGGGGGCAACAAACGGTGCAAGAGGCCCTTCCAGAACAAGGGACCCTTGCGAAGCAGGGGCCCTTCCCAAAATCGGAGCAGTCCATTCTTGACAAAAAGAAACGCAGAGGGGGGTGCTGGGCCCCTTCTTGGTTTCTGTTGACCCCTCTGCAAAAAGTTTAACTTCTTGTGGCTTCAGTGGCAAACGCCTTGATTTCCCCAAAAGTTAAAGTCTAAAGATCCAATCCAATAGCAACCACGCCTCTGTTGACGACCAGAGTTCCCGGGGTCCCGGCGCGACGATGCGTGCCCTGGGGTTCAGCGGCGTCGCTTCACCGGTCTTCGCGTTGTGCCACCTCACTGGCGATCCTTTCGCCGACCTTTCGGTCCCTAGGCTCAGCTTCCAAGCAACCAGCTACCAGAACCATGGAACCTCACAGCGGGGTTCTGGAAGACCATTGTCCAATAAAAAGGGACCCACCAGGCGGTTCCATGGAAGTGGACCAAAGGGGACCTCCGTGTGTGTCTGTTAACCTAAAAATTGTGCAGTAGTTTGAGAACAAATCCCCGTACGGCTGAAAGCTCACACACGGGACTTCGTTGCGACTTTCAAGGGGCACTGTCAGTCGGCGACAAGTAAGCCATCCACAAATGGCAAAATACACCTGACACCTTCCCGGGCTGTCCGCGGGTCCCCCGCTAAAAGTTTAACTTGTGGGTTAAGTGGAAATCCCCGCTCAACACTAAAAAGCTAAAAGGCCAAGGGGATGGCTGGGAGCCACCAAGCTTCCGTTGTTCATGAAATATACCGTGCCTTCAGTCTGACTCCATGCTGCAAGGAGGTTAAAATGCAGGCCCAGCGACTTGGATGCATCTGCACATTCCTCCCCAAAAACCACCGAAACAGGATGGTCTTCATGTAGCATTCAACTTTTATGCATACCATTCATAAGTGTGAAAGGAGGAACTGACACATAATAAATATGTACTACATATGTCACATACATACCCCAGTTGCTCACTGACTAGCCGTTCTGTAGTGAGAGCACGCCAAACAAGCATGAATGTGGAGGGTGGAACTCACGGAGCAAGTGGGATACAATTTGTATCACCTGCTACCCTTGCAAATGAAGAGCTCAGAGTGCCCAAGGATGTTGGACCCCCCTAAGCCCAGTTTCGAATAGATAGGTCTCCATTTTCTAAAACCTGAGAGTTAAATCTGCTCTCCTGACCCTGGTATAATAGGATACCTTCTTTGGGACTTGGCCATTTTCGGTGGGTCCCTGAGCAAATGCGGAGGTATGTTGCTAAAGGCTAGGCCAAGTTGTCAGGGAGCAAAAGGGGGCGTGATGCGAGCGCGGAACTGACTGGCAACTGTTGGTTTCATGTTTCATGCTGTGAACTTGTTGATCCTGGTCACTTCGTAGAGGTCCTTGGGCGGACCCTTGGACATGTTCCTCTGCGAAGCTTGGCAAGCATGGTTAGCTTCCCGGAGAATCAACCCATTGCACATGTTCCTCTTTCCGACTCGGTGTGAATTTTGGCAGCTGGTCTGATCATGCTCAAACCAAGAAGAATTCGGCGCGATGCAAACTTCTATGACAACTTGAATCGAATCTTCCCATAAGCCCAAACCATGTGTGTTACACGGCCCATCTCCCGATCTTCCGCAGGAGACGCGCAAAATCTAGGGCGAGAATCAGGCAGCATGAGGCTAGGCCTAAAAGCTTGTGCAACTTGTGTCGTGAGCCAACTCTAAAACACATCCAAACTCTGCCCAGTCACAGTAGAGGAAACAAATTGGACCCTGTGAAAGTCCACGTTTTAACAAGATGCGGTTGCATGCAGTTGGCTCACTTGCTTTATTTTTGTTCCTTGGCACGCTACCATGAGGTGGGGACCCTGTTCAGTCGACCCTCAACCTGTGGACCTGTGGCCAACTCCTCGGTTGTTTTCATCCGGCTGCTTCGATCGACGGCTCGTTCGCCGGCGCCGGCACAGGCCCCCGAGCATCGGCTTCTCCTCGGACTCTGAGACCGTCCAGGCCGCAAGCTCAGCCTCCTGGTCCTCATCCTCAGATCGCTGGGGCGTGGACACCCATGAGTCTCAGCCATGGCCAAAACATCCCCAAACCAAAATAGACACATGGCCCACCAACGCCCCTAGTTGATTTTCACCCTGGCATAAGAAGAAAGACACAACCTGCTGGCACAGGTGTTTCAACCAAAGCCCATAGTTGACATCTTATGGCCATTCGACCGTGGATGCCCTAATGCAAGCGTGGGCAGAAGGAACCCCATGGAGCCTCTGACTTTTACCCAATTTGCCATGGTTTTGGGTTGAGTGGCGGGGAATACTTTTGATATGTGGGGCATCCGTCGCCCCAGACCCTCCCAGTGGCTGTGCAATGGGCCCCCCAACAAGGTCAGCAAGGGGCGCGGAAAAGAGGTGAGTCTCCCTGATATCGTGAGGCCCCTGTTCCCAGTTTATTGGGCGGAAATGCTGAGTTTCAGTGGAACAAGTTTCTAGGGGATGCTTGCCCCGCCTATGGGTTTGTTGCTGAAAGACAGCTAAAGAGTGCTAGACAAGTCCGCAGAACAAGGCATACTTGAGAAATCAAGGGGCTTCGCACCTTGAAAGAACAGCAGTTGGCGCTATGTGGGCAAAGACCTCCGAACTTACCGCTTTCGCTGGCAAAACAGTACCCCGAAAGCATCGGCCAAAATCGCCTAAACCCCTTCCCCAAACGCAGGGCTGGCGAAGACTCCATGCTGTCAGGGTGCAATTCCTTGAATTAACCAGGTTTTGACCAGATTGGATACAGTGGGGAATCTTGCAATGCCATACATTTGCGGGGACTTTGTAATGACTTTGTAATGAGCCTTCGATCGGGCTGTGACCCTCCAAAGGTCTCCAACCCCTATTGCGAGAGAACCAGATTACACCCCTGCAGATTCGCATGCAACCTGTAGAGGGGAGCTCTTTCTTGGGCCACCCGCTTTGTTCTTGGCCCACATCTGGGGTACACAGAAAGCAAATATGTTCTGATTCTGTTTCATATTTAGTCGACCCTAAAACGTATCAAATGCAGGTCAAGGGAGGCCGGCGGATCAATGACTGCGGAGATATTAATCAGAGGTCAACAAACAGTTGAAATGGACATTCCCGCCATCAGATATGTTACCTTCCGCGAATGCGTGAAGAATCCTCTTTTGACATCCTTTTGGAAAGGCTGAACACACGGGTCGTGATACCCCCTGTTAACACTCAAAAATGGGCTATTATGGGCTGTTCAAAATGTAGGGTTGGCCAATCCTAATCTCTCACGATAGGGAAGGCACCACAAAGGCCGGTTCCTTGCGTGACAGGATTAAGGATTGGGAAACCATTGTTTGTTTGTTGTTACAGGGGAATCATCCTTCCAGGGCTTCTTAGGTGGTGCGAAATGGATTTCGTCCATCCACAGTATGTCCGAAGCTTGGCTCTCAATTTGCCTAAAACGAAGTACCACTTCCCCAAGCGGCCAGCCGGGCTGTGCCAAACGAGACACCAAGCCGGCGGTCTGGGTAGCAAGCAGTGTCTCCTCCAAGGGCAGCCAAAAGCATCACAAGAAATACTCAATTGCACAAAGGACCTGAAAATAAACGTCTTACTCCCCTGCAGATTAGCATGTTCCTCCGAAAATCATGGCTTCTTGGGTACCATGGTAATCTGCAAGAAGGTACTTTTTGGGGACTTGGCGACTTGGCTAAAACTGCTTCCCTAAAAGGTAACGCCGAAAGGAAAAAAGGCCGTGACCAACTGGGACTACCATCTCTCCAACGAGATGGTTGTGACCCTTCTCCGTCATGAGTGCTGGAAGGAGGGTACCCGTTTTTGCAAGGGCTCCAATTTTGGATCTGACAGTGGAAGATCTCTTTCTGAAGATCGTGTTGCCCCGTATTGACACTCTTTGGCGCAATGGATTGGGATAATCGGATAGCACAGCAACGGGTCCCGCCTGCCCATATTGACATGTGTTTTCTGAAAAAAGCCCGCGCTGCCATGTTCCCTGGGAGGTGTAATCCAGCTGCGGGTAGAGTGTGGCCAGAACAACGTGGACAAAAACCAGCGCAAAAATGACTTCAGTTGAGGGAAAATAGATGGCACCATTCCCTTTCATGCCGGTTTGGATGATGCAGCCTCAGGAGGCGCATCTGATTTTCAACCGATACCCAAACTTCACAATGTCGAGAGCGCTTCATGCTACAACCTAATACCGCCTCGCCCGGCATCATCCCTCAGAAAGTGATTGCTGAGTTCACCAGGGGGACCTTTGCAAATTGCCACTTTCCCAGACCAGGAAAGCAGGAACATGTGAAAAAGCTTTGGGGCCACGATGGAGCAAGGAAAGCCAAGGGTCAAGATGTTGTCTTTGACCCCTGGGAGATGGAATCCGGCTGAGAACCCACCCGAACAAAGGAAGTGGAAACCGACAAAGCGCCTATCCTCCGAGGAAAGCTCTTGCTCAAAGCGCCCGTTTCTTTAAAAACGCTACAGTACATGCCAATTCAACCGGAGTAAATGGATCTTTTTGCTTGAGGCTGCCAGTTTTTTGTTGTGTTTAGGGGAAACCAAAAGGACAACCACCATTTTTGCGGCTCCCTCCAAAAAGGCGCACGACAATGGATCCTACCAACATGCAAGAAACGGAGCCGCGAGTGGAGTCGAAGGCTGGCGGGACCTGCTAAAGCAGCACCCCTGCTAAGGGAAACTCACCTTCAATGGGCCGACAAGGCGACGTGTTGAAAAAGGAACTAAAAGGTTGACCTTTTGGCACCTCTACTAAAAATGGACCAAAATGGGAAAACCAAAAGGTCAAAAGGTCGGCTTTGGACAACTGAGTATAGGGACCCCAGACTCACCCCATCTGGGACGGCCACTCGCCAGGTTGTGTCCAAATCCAGCAGGCTCTTGCAGAGCCTCAGCTCGCCCGAGGCGGGCGACCGCAAGAGCTCGAAGCTGTTTATTCTCCGCGACCCGACTCAGACGCGAGCAATTTTCAATGGTTTTACCCATGATAGCTTCGTAGAAATAGACTTTCAGCTGGTCAGGGCAAGTGAGAGATGTCGTCTTGGCTAGCTGAAGTTTAAATTTTAGTGGCTTAAATTCGGAAACTACCGCTAAACACTAAAAGGATCTGAAAGGCTAAGAAACCGGATGGCTGGCTTCGCCACCAAAAAAACAAAAACCTCTGGGCGAATTACCCGCTGTTGACCAGCCGGACATCAGGAATCACCTTCGAAGCTTGAAGACCCTTCTACAGAATCGGAGCTACAGCAGCTTTTGCTGTACCAAGCTGCTTGAATGAATCAGCCTGCCGGTCACCCAAAATTAAGGGGTTATGACCCCTTTTTCTGGGGGTCATGGAGACTCTAGGTGGGTCTTATCCAGTAAAAATTGAAAAGGTGAAACCAAACCTGAGCCGCAATCCCAGGAGTGTGATGACCAAAAAAAAAATCTGGTACCCCAATGCCTGCGTTGGCTCCCAACAATTGGTTGGTGCTTCGGAAGTGGGCCAAACTTGGAAACCAAGCATTCGCTTTGCTTTGGGCCAGTATTAGTTATGTGTCAAACTGGGGGCGAACCCAAACAATGGCGTCCCCGGAAACCAAGTTGCAAAGGGTACCGAAACCTCAAACAAACACACACACACACACACACACACACACCTAACTGTGTGTGTGGAGGTGTGTTGTTGAGGCTCGGCACGCATTCCAGGTGACTCAAATGCCTACCGGGAAGCCAACCGTTCGTTTTTTGCTTCTTTTTTTGGGGGGGGGTTGGGGTGGGGTGGGGGGCGGGGGGGGCGGGAGTTGGATTTTTAACGCAACACGCAGGCCGTATTTCAGCCAGAGCGGCACCGCCATCTCCCGCAGCGCGGCCTCCAAGGGATGGTCCCAGGTGGTCTCCCTGAGTCAGCGGCGACTGTGCGCGGACGAAATCCGCTTTGCACCAGTTGCTAGGCGGTTCTTTACCAGTTTTGGGTGCTTCTCAAAATTGTGGACCCCTGTGGACCCCTGTTGGTCGGTGTTTAAAGAAAGGTGTTGCCACAGGACAACAAACTAGTTTATAGGAACGACTGTTTTGAGAAACACCCCTATGTTCCCCCTCAAAAAAATAATTCTATCAAACTCGCCTCAAATGCACTGAGCAGTGATGTTTAAAACCGCCAAAGTGGCAGATATTGGTTGTGGCCATTGCCAAGAAGATGCAACTTGCCACAGCTCACGACACGGTCAAACCAACTTTCCGGTCCTTTGGGCCACTCCAGTGAAATCCCAGTGCCAGTGCCATTCCAGTGAAAATATCGTGCCACCCCAGTGAAATGCCTCTGCAACTCCAGTCCCAGTGAAGATTGAGGCCAGGCAAAAAGAAATATCATTGGGAAAGTCGAGTGGAACTGGCCGCCTGAAAGCACGCAGGAAACAACTGAAGAGCCTGCACACGTGCACATAAGACGATATTCAGCACCCAGACTACTGACCTGAAGAACCGTATTGAGTACGGGATCCAGTCATGTCAGATAGTGCGTGGTCCTCTGGATTCATCTGCAGTAACATGCTGCAACACTGTAGGCTGTGGCTCTGTTCGAACCAGGTTTGCTAGCCACAGAAGTGAGGCATACCTCCCTGCAAAAAGCATCGCTCAATCCTTGGGACACTAAAGCAATTCTTGAACAGACCCATGCCACAAGTCATCTCCTTCCGAGAGGCAAACCATGCTTTCCTTCAGCCGGGCGCAAGGGGTGCAACCACAAATCCTAAGATCCAAACCCTCCCTCTAATCTCCTCCAAAGGCCTGAGGGGCCTACCCAAGCGGATGCAAAGCTCAACTTAGCTGGTGTGTCAAAACAGGGGGTGTTTTCCTTTTTGAAACTTCAGCCGAACAGGGTACCCTACAAATCCCTACCAACAAACACACACACACACACACACAAACAAACAAACAAACAAACAAACAAACAAACAAACAAACAAACAAACAAACAAACAAACAAACAAACACACAAACACACAAACACACAAACACACACACACACACGAACAAAAACACGCACACACACACACCAAGCGCCTGGTCTCAGGATTCAGGAAGAAGAGCTTCCCCTTGCGGCTGCGGAAAGGAGCCCAGGGCTCAGGTAGGGGCAGCTCCGGCAGCAGGTCCTGCCGACTGCCGAGTCGAATCGCCATGGGCGGGGTGGGGTTGTGGGGATTCGGGTTGGGGGATTCGGGTGGGGCAATGCACCTCTGGTTTGTGGACATGTTTCAACAATTGGTTTATTCACCTGCTTGCGGGCTTTCGTTTAATTTGTTCAGCCCCTGGCTTATATGCTTGAACCCTCGGGCTAGTGTGTTTCCTTTCAAGAAAACTGGCTGGTTGTTTACGCAAAGTTTGGGTCAATGGTATGACCGCTTGCAGGGGTCCTGGCCAAATTTCTTACATCCCCCCTTTTTCCGCAGCTTCATCGGAATCGGTATGTTTCGACTGTTGCCGGAAAGTCCAGTGACGTCCCACGGGTCCTGATGGATTTCGAAAAAAATGATTGCTAACCCTTAAGCTCACTTGCCCAAAAAACCTCGCAACAAAAGGTTGCCCGTGCTGGCCCTTGGTCAAACATGCACACAGGCCATTGTTCTAGTGGTTCCCTTTAGCAGGAAGACCCCTCCCTCCATGTGGGAAGGAGGGTATCTTAGTGGTCAACTCCATGCCCAAAGGGTATGTCACACGGTTTCTGTCTGCAACATCACCCCAGAGAAACTTGAACCTTGACAAACCAAAAGGGGCATTTGATGACTATCTGATGTTTCAACGGACGCCAAGTGCTCAAATGATCTTCAATTCAAAGTTGGCAACCAAAAAGGCGCTTCAGCGCGTACCCAGTGTGTCGTGCGAGGCCCACAGCATATCATCTCTCCAAGGTTTGCTTGCATAATCGGGGACATATCTCAGATTGGACCAAATGAATACGCTCGTTCTGGCTGGCATGTGTGAACCAGCCGAAAAAGCGAACGATCACCTCCATTTCCTTAAGTCCCCTAGGCTGGACAGCTATACGATATATATATATATATGTGTGTGTGTGTGTACACTAGTGATAGGTTTCCTTTAGAACCAACAGCGGAAAATACAAAACATATTCCGAAACGCACAAATGTAAGGCAAGCCCTGCCAACCCTCCCACCCGCGCCAACCCCCTCCCCCCGAAACCGCCGTCGCCGGTCCGTCGCGAGGCGCGTGGCGGCGGGGCAGGCGAGGCCCTTCAAGGCCCGGTCCGCGCAGGTGGCGGCGTCCTTGGGGCTCCTGAGCCGAAGTTCGCGGGGAATCCCGCCTTTCTTGGCTGCTGCAACGGCCCCCCCTGCAAAAAGTGTGTCACTTTTTTGGGGGGTTTAGTGGAAAACCCCAAACGATGTCCGAAAAAGTGAAAGCCTAAAGATCCGTTACCCAATAGCAGTCAAGATCCCCCCTTGTTCCTTTGGGCAATGCCATAGGCTCACTTCCTGAGCGGATTGGCCAACAAAAGGCCAACCATGTGTTTGCTTTTATCATTATCACCTCACTTGCTTGCTCTGGCAATGCCATTTTGGGCGCACCTCCTGAGAATTTATCACACAAGTGGTCTTGCCAAGTGACGAAGGTCCAGGAGCCCAGGGAGTGAGCAGGGGGTCCAGCATTTGCTTCTCTCACTGTGGTTTCCTTGTGGTTTCTCATGGTGGAAAATCCCCCTCTGGAAACCAACCACGCGAATCCATGCGAACCCTTAAAAAAACAGGAGTCAGCGCAAAATGGGTCTGGCTCATTGATCCTTTTGCTGAAAGTTAAACTTGTGGGAGATGTCAAGAAGGCAACTCCAAACTCCAAACGTCAAGTGCGCAGCACAGCTGGTAACAAGCAGCCAACATCCATCCCTGCAAACTTGGTTCTGACTTGTAACTGGGTGCAAGGAATCGTTTGGGAATCCTCAGTGGGTCTTCATCTCACATCCTGAGCGGATTGGCCAAAAAAGCCTAAACTTGTGGTTTACCAAACTGGCCCAGACCAAGGACAAAGTCCGAAACGGAACGCGAGCGGTTGGGTGAGCTCGTTGCACTCAACAGTGATTCCAAAAAGCGCAGAATCCAACCAGCGGAGGGCTCTTCCCATGGGTCCGGACCCGGAGCTTCTGGCTTGCCGATGCAGCCACTCGAGCTAGGACACCAGCTGTGTTGCTTGGTTTCCTGTTCGTCGCCAATGCAATTCGGCATGCTTAACTCGACAAGAAGCCACCTGGGGTTGTTTCAGTAGGTATTTAGCACGCCCCTCGAAAGTAGAAACACATAACCCTTTGTTTGCCAGTTGGTTTCAAGAGGGCAACTCCTCACGAAAAGGAAGCAGGTCCCCAACAGTGCCTGGGCTGAATGCCTAGCCAAGGTGCCACGTGACTAGCTCCTGCTTGGCCTGACGGGATGATCAAATCTGATGAACCCCTGAAAAGGTCCCTTGAATCTGGGTTGCTCTCACCCCCCCTGAGAAAAAGGTCCAATCAATTTTCTAGGTCTCATGGAAAACAATTGTTTCCAAAAGGTCGAAGGGCCTAGAGAGGTTGTCTGGGGGCTAGCAAATCTGAAGTTAGCAGTGAGTAAAGATAAATCATGCTAGGTAACTATTACGCCCGCAGAAACTCACCCCCCCTCCCCGAACCCCCTCCACCGCAGTGATCGAACATGCTTTTCAATCCATGGACCCCCCAGCCACACAGAAGCTTCAGAGCTTTGCTAGGTTCTGACCCAAGGGTTTTGTCGGTTTGGACGTCGATCAACCTCAATTTTGACCTAAGCTCCCAATTTCTCCACCCCCACCCCAGCCCCCACCCGTTGACCCAACATAAGACCCTAACCTTTCGGCCAAAAGGCCTGGAGTTCACGCCATGGCGATCGCCTCCTTCCCAACTCAACTTGATTCAGATCTAGGGTGCCTTCATGTCTTTCGTGTCATCATGGCATCAAAAATGGGCTTTTGCGTCTTGCTACCCCATGGAACCCAGCTTAAAAGCTGACAACCAGCTGATGCTCAAACTCGGGGAAAGCTACAAACAACTCAATCAAAATAGGACCAAACGTGGATGCCAGTGTTTGGCACGGATCAAGTGGCACCCCAGTTGGCCATCAACAAAAATCAGACGGGGCACCCCCTCGTGGCCTGGAAGTACCTCCAACGCCCGGAAAAATCCCTGCCTGAAAGTGGCGCGCTGAGGGTGGGCTAGAGCCTCCACCTGGGTGAGCGAGCTCAGCTCGCACCGATCGGGGGTTCGTTGGTGGGGGCCGTCTCCTTTTTTGGCGGTGCCCATCGTGAAGCCAAGAGGAAAAAGACCAGCTTGGAGGGAGGTCCCCTCAAAACAGCACACACCCATTTGTACCGTTGAAGGGAACCCCAAACAAATAAACCCGTACTAGGTGACCCACAAAATCCGGATGGCCACTAACACGGGACACCCCGGATCGCTTGATCAATCGTGGGTTTCTTGCCCCGGGGTTCACATTACCTCCTTTCAGAACTTCTGGCGGCTCCTTGACTTCTTCAAGGGGACTTCGGATGCAGCCAGCTCCTTGGATCCCTTCCAACCTCCAGCTGGGTTATTCCAAGAGCCCACAGAACTCAAATTTCAAGGCATTTGGACGGACTGACTGAACATGATGCCTACCACGTCCCTTCAGAACTGGTAGTTCCTTGCTCCTAATTTTGAATACACAGAGCTCCTAGTTGCTGGGTACATGCGGCTAATCCCCAATCGACTTCCCTCTTTGTTGGTGTGTAGGCTCAGGGTGGTGGGTTCCATTTGCCCTGTACAAGAGCCCAGGTTCAAAATCCCCAAACCACCAATCCAACCACCAAGAGCTGCCTGACCCCGGCCATTGCAGACCACGTCCGTCGGTCCGTTGATGTCGGCTCAGGGCATGGCCACGTTCGGGCACCAGGCCCGTCGGTACCTGGCGGCCCGGCCCGATGGGTCGGGGTGTCGGCGACCCGGCGTCGGCATTTCCGGGAAGGGAAGACCCGTAGATTCACTGTGGATGCCAACGAACAAATGGGATGCCCCATAAAAAAATCGGAACAGAGGCGGAGGGAAACCACAGACGAACCGACTTTCTTCACCGCAATGTGCTTTGATCCCAACCAAGTTAAAGCCCAAGGCAGCGCCGTCAGAACAAGTCCTACAGACAAGCAGCAGTATCTTAAACATGGTTTAACGACTCTGCCAATTGCCTCAAGCAACCCGTCATAAGTCAAGAAATCAGCAGCCCCAATTGACCAGTGGAAACGCGGCCAATTCCATTTACCTCTTGAGCCGGCAAGGACAACCTACCAGCAGTGGAGCACAGTTGTTGTCTGGGCACCCAGTCAGTTCCCAAAGTACCACCTAAAAAATGATCAACTGGTGGTGTCATGGCCAAAACGTTGCCAGACAGGGGAAGCGAAAAGGTCAAACTCTCAAAAGGCCGATTCGTTTTGGCCAAGTACTGCAAACCCTGATTACTTAAAGGGCAGGGTACCTATTAAGTGGATAGTAACCCTGTCTTAACCCACTTCGAAGACTTATAACCATGGTAAGTGGGTTATAACCATGGGTACTAAACACTAAGCACCCGATCGCCCCTTGAAGTACTAAACCCTGGTTGATTTTGATCCCGCCTGCGCAGTCCCCTTTGAGGTGCGCTCCTCGGACTCCTCGAGTGGGTGCGCCAACCAAAAAACTCGATCCAATGGGAAACACGGTGGGTGCACCCCGAAAAAACCACGGTAAAAAAAGAAAATCCCGCCAAGTGCGGTGATTTAGATGACTTTTTGCCGAAGTAAACCAACCACATACCCCAACGCCACGGTAAATGACAGCAAATTAGGGGGGTTAGACCCCGCTGAAAATGAAGCGGGGAGGGTCTCCATGTTAAAGAAAGAACCACATTGAGGCCTGCATGCGGGTGTAATATTAGTGTCGAGTGGCACATTTCCGGAAGGCATTGTGCTTTGTGTGTAGCCTATAGTAGACACCAAACCACCGCACACAAGACCACCGGGCAGCACCTCGATTTCAGGACTAACACCAAAAGGTGTGCCATGCAAAGTCAACACCAAATCGCCAAATTGCGAGCAGTGGCCGAGTCTTCGAATGTCAACCTCTTTTTCGCAAACAGGGCGTGTGAAAAGGGAGTTTCTCTCGAAAGTGCGGGGTTTCCTTTACAAGAAGGCCCCCACCTACTGTGGATGGACGAAATCCTGCACCACTTTGAAACCATGGTTGAAACCTGGGTTTCTTGGTAGTTATGTTGCGGAATTGAATCATTCCGTCGGACTTCTGAACAGTGGTGCGCGAAGGGGATTTCGCAACCCTCCATGCGGGTTCTCCACCCTGGCACTTGGAAAGTCCCCAGCCCAGGTCCTCCTCTTGCCTTGGGCAAGCGAAGCTCAGGATCGCAGTCTGCAGTTGCAGGCACAGCGCCTCGGATTCAAGGCGAATCCCAGCAGGCGGATTCGCCATATGACAATTGCACCACTTTGACAGGAGTCCATCCAATCACCACCATGATGTCATCTGGACTGGAAAATGCGTGTTTGCGCAACTGCCTGAAACTGCGGAAAGTTGGGTGTTGAAAAAGGAATGGCGGACAAAGAAAGTGGGAACCAAGTTGTAAACAGCCGGGTTGGCATGCTTTGGTCTTGCTTCAATCAACCGGCGCATTTACAATGCAAGGAGATGCTAAGATGTGCTAAGATGTGCACATGCGAAACACGACAATTTCATCTTCTGGATTGGCCCTCGCTTTTTCCCCCTTTAGAAGACTCTCGCGTCCGAAAGGAACGGCATATTGTTGTAGGTCCATCGTCTCCAAGTTGACGCTGTCACGCGAGCGCCCATCATGGCTCCCAATTCCAGGCTCCCATGCGCAACTGATTGATTATTCAAAGTTCTAAACCATAGGGGACCACCAAATTATCCTCTTCTCGCGAGGGGTCGGATCTCAGGGTGCGGCTGGGTCGGTAGCCGACCTGAAGCAACTGCTTCCGGGGAAGCGGAAAGGCCCTGATCCCTTTGTTCAAGGGAAGCTCGGAAGACACCTAACTGGGCTTCTCTCAGCATGGTGGACCCCCTTCTGCTTGGTAGCCAAAGAGAAACCAAAAGGAGCTAAACTGTCGAGGGGACTGCTAATTTTGAGAGACACGCTGGTCAACGTTCAATCCTCAACCTAGGACCTCAACATTCTGCTTGCCATCATCATTATTTAAGCGTTTGACCCAACGTTTCATAACATCATCACTTTGGAAAATGGCAGGGGAATCATGTGCCGCCAAATGTGGGATCCCTGTTTCTTGCGGTAGGACCTTTTTGGAGACCTTAATCTTTCCAGGGTGACCACTTGACCGACCCAATTGACCCCTGGCTCGAAACCCATTTGCGGACCCGGGAAACGGGCTGAACCCCCCCAGGGCCGCTGCAGGGCGCCAAGCGGATCTTCCGGCTCCAAGGGCATCACCTGTGGCTGGAGAAAGGGGCTGGTTTTGGGGCTGGGGGTCTTATGTTGAAGAGGTTTGGGTTAAATTTTGGGAAGGGCCTGATTGTGGGAAGCTTCTTGTTTTGAAGGAGGAAGATACATTTTGCGGTTGTGGGGAAGTCTTAAAAATGGTCTTCAAGGGCTTCGTTGTGGGGAAGGAAGGGGGGGGGACTTCGAAACACCGAGGCTACGACCTCATGTGGGTGCAAATGGCGGAAGAGCGCATTGGTTACAACCAGGTGAGCTGAAATTCGATAGCAAGAAGGTGCGCCGCTGAACAACTGGGTCCGGTAAGGCGCCCTTCACCTTGAACGGGGCAAAAGGAGCCCCCAGATTGCGAGCTAATCCCTGAAGGTTCCACGATGCACGGGGGCTGATGATCCGGGAAACCCGGACGAGCCCTTCGGGACCAAGAATGCTGTTGACGTGGGCTGTGCCCGCTTTCCAACAATCATAGAGGCTCACAAGAGGGCTGCCGTGACTACATCTCTGATTGTTGCAAACAGAATTTTGCCAGCGGCACTCCCCTAGTAGCACATGACAGCGAATTCTTCAGCATGTTGCAGGTCACGTGAATCAGAACCCGCCCAGACCTGCAGCAATTCATCAGGATTCTCTGAAGCGAAGGACCGACAGAAACAGAATCTCTGCATTAGATGATTCCAAGCTGACTGCGAACACTAGTTTGTCTCAATGCCGTCTGCCTCGCGCCATTCATCTGCAAGCTCCACCACCCACAAGTCTCACAGCCAAACATACATCCCACAACCGCCACCTGCTTTATAAGGGGAACCCCTCAAGGCGATCTGTTTAGCTGGTCCAAATCCATATTTTCGGGGACCCTGATGCTAGCTTGATGCCTCTGCAGGTCGGAGCTTAGGCTGGTTCTGCACTAAATGCTACTGTTCCACCAGCCTGAAGTCAGAAACCCCTGTGCTATTGGGACACTCACCCGAAGACTGGGGACAGGCAAACACCTTTCACACACAACAGCGTCAACTTCCGTGAGAGACCTTCCTCATGGGTAGGCTCAGTTTGGTTGCCTGGTACTACGTAACCTCCATGTGCTTAAGTTTGTTGGAAAAATATAACCGATGCCAGTAGTGATAGAGATTGATTCTAAACCAACACGGGAACATGAAACAAATAAGTACATGGACATCAAGGAGTTGAACACCATGTAAAGAAGTAGAATGTCGCAAGTATTATGGTTTGTCTGTCCACTAACCTGCATCTCCAACCAGGTTCTGACTGCGACTCAGGACACCTTGCTACACGGATGTGCTAAGTGTTTGCAAGTCGGAGAACTGGACAAGGAAACCTTCTAATTCACCAGCTTACCTTCCCTTTGGGTTTTCTGGTTGGTTCAGTGCCAGGCTTAGGGCACCATGAAAAGCCAGGTTAATTAACGCCGCTCGGATCGGGTGCCCAAACGTGTCTCAGCCGAGGTCGCCACCCATGCGATACCATGGCGCGTGTGGCGCCGCGCCGGAGGCCGGGCGCGCTGCGCTTCGGATTGTGCCAGGGTCTAATTGGGGTTGACCATGCCTTCGGCTTTTGCGCCCAGAACTTATAACTTATAACTGATAACTTGTAACTTACAACTTATAACCACCCCTTTGGCCTTTGTGTGCCACATATCTGGCCAACCCGGATGAAAAAAAGCTGCATCCTGGTCCTGCGCGTGCAAAGGCAGCTCTCGTTCCGGCCCCTTGGATTCCTGACGCCGGCGGCGGAAGCTGCAGTCAAGCGCATGCCCAAATGGATGGTGGCAAGTTTATGCAACAGCATCCAACCACCAAACCCTGGAAAACTACAGTATCTCACAGGGGTGCTCTGGCTCCGCCATTTGCAATGGACACTCCCGATCGTGCAAGCGGGAAATCCGGGCAAATGAACAGAGGCGTTTTGGTTTCTCAGACATGCATGTTGTTGTTGGTTTCAGGAAGCTCCTGCATTTGCCGACCAGGTTGGTTGGGACGTTTTGCAGGCCCCAAAAATGACAGACAAACTATAATAGGAGCTTCAAAAGGGGATGTATTTGCTGAGGTGCAACCACAGTTGGAGGAACCGCATGGAAACGCCCTCTTTGGCCTCGGAAAGCAACAATTGGTGGGCCTTCTTTTGAACCTCCTTCAGAACACAGGGCGTCATTCACCGCTGAAGGGGGCTTCCAAAGGGCCAAGGTTTTTCACGTACCTTCCTCCAACCTCTTGAGACCATCACCCGTGCGGACCTGAGATGAGAATCTACCGCCCTTTGAAGGCAATCGAACCCTTCTATCTATTCGGAAGCGGGGACCACTGTCAGGGACCCGCAAGTGCCACCTTCTGCCCCAAAATGGGTGGTGTTCCCTTTCCCGCCTGACCAAGCTCGAAAGGGTACCATCCAAAACTCACATGTTCCAATTCTGGAGTCGGAAAAAATCGCCCTGTAACTCCCGCTTTCTAGGAGAGTAGCACCAGAGTCCCGGGCGCCGGCAAGCCTGAGCAAGTTGCTAGGACTGACGTCAGCCTGGTCCAAACTGCCTACTCATTTGCAATTGGGTGCTTCATACCATCTTTCCAACAATTCAGCTTCTATGATGGTAACACACGAATTCTGAGCCAAAGGGTGCATGTCGAGGTCCCGTTTTGCCAAAACAAAAACACATGGCACATGTCTCCATACACAGTGTGTGCTTGGCCAACTCTTGCAGCAAGCCAAGTTCCACCCATCAAAGCTAGGCCAGCTGGTTGCGGCTGACAATGGGAGGTTCGAGTGTTCCTTTTTTCAGTGTAGCACCCCGCAAAGTTGAAAGTTTGGATACCGCTAGTCCGCGCTCTGAGCTCTGAGCTGCAAAAGTGCGAGGGTATTGTGACTAAGCCCAACCAAGCCGTGGGCCGTCTACGACTGAGTGCCTTGCTGACCCTTGTCCACGGGCTTGCAGTAATCCAGAGCACCATGGGTAATACATTGATCCCAGATTAAAAGCACCTGGTTGATTGATAAGGGGGTTCCCCCTTTCAGTGGGAATCCTTCACTTTTGCGTTTTTGGCCCCTCCATTGACGGGCCAGGCTTATTCGGGGCAAACACCGAGAGGATACCTCGCAGCCCCCCAAGGACGACAGGTGCTTGGCTTCTGGGAGGGCCCTGCTTGCTACATTTCCCCTCATCTTTCCACCCAATCGAGTTCACAGTTCACACCTAAGGTTTGCCATCCTTTTTCTCGTTGGTTTTATATGTTAAAGAAATCTGCAACCCATGTGTTGGAAGCCATTTTCCTGGAAGCGTTTCAAAACGCCAAGCCCCCAGAGACGTGCCCGAAAGCCCGGTTTCGGGCCCCGCGCGACTCGGTGCCGGGGAGGCACCCGGCCTTGTGCCGGGCCTCAGTACCCCTCCCTCTGCCTTTTCCGCCCCTGGACCAACAAACATGGCGCCAAAGATGAGAACTGTAGGCGGTCTTCAAAACCTGAATGAAAAGAAGCAAATGGAAGCCGGCATTAGTGGGACATGCTGGGATTTGGGACCAAGCCCTGATGTCCAAAAGCCCTTGTTCAGTTGAATTCTTGTTTTCGGGGTCCGTAGAATGGGTCGAATGGGAGTCACACCTATTCACGCCAGCGCCCAGGGTGGCTTGCAATGCCCCACGGACCTGAAAGCAACCGGGTCTATCCGCTTTCACGTGACGCACCCGGGTGCAATCACCGGCAACTCCAGCATCCCCTACCTATTTGGAAACGGAGGGGCGGGGGGCGGGCCACGCCCTGTGGGCTTTTCACGGGCAAAGCCAACGGCCCCAAGTGCTAGGTTCCATTCGGCTAAGCACTACCCCAAAACTAAGCCGACATTTGTAAGGGCGATGCTTAACTTTTCAAACCCATGGGAGATGGAGCGCGGCACCTCGGGTGGACACTTTTAGGTACAGGCCACAAGCAGCATTCCCTTAGCAAAAGTCCGCAGCTGAGCATGTTAGGCACCGAATTCACAGCTGGGCGGACCCCCCTAACCGTTTCATTGTTTCTTGGTCGGGAAATACACAAGTGGCCGTGGGTCAAAAAGATGTAGCAACATGGCACCTTGGTATATGGAACCAAAGACTAAAACCTGCGTAACCCCACTTCTTTAATGTTGAGCCACAGCCAAGTTCCGCCAACAAAATAGCAGCTGCTTCAACAAAAGACGGCAGCTTTTCTTTCGGAAGCGAAAGCTTCAGCCAGCCACCGGATGCCCAAGCAGCCGGCCGGTCTCGACCAAAAGCACGCGCGCAGCTCTCGCCGTTTTGCTCAAGCGAGCGGAACATGCGGGTCGCTCCGGGGACTGGTGCACCTGTACAAAGTTGGCTCCTCCAGCACTCAGTCAACTTTCACCAGCTCAGAGCAATCCTACTGATCTAAGAAATCGATGGCGTGGAGCGTGCAGCAAGGTTGTCGAAAGGCCAACCTGCCTGCCTGTCTGCCTGTGTCTCTGTGCTATGGGTGTTTTCTGAGCTCCATTTCCCAGCAGTTCCTGGGGCTTTCCGCTTGCGTCCCCCCAGTTGCATCCACCGTGCTCTTTGGGTTTGGATGGTCATCGCATCTTTTGAATCATCAGGCAATAATTAATTAGTGTCGTGACGGCAGTAACCAGAGTGACCGGTCGCCAGTACATCACCTGTTCCTTTTGACTTGCGGCGGGCCACGCTCCAGAAATTCTGCACCATCTGCACTTGGGGACATCCAGGGTTCCAATAAGCAGCCTAAAAAGAGCAGGACCCCTGAGTTTCATGCGTCGAAAGGGCCGCCGCTTGCTCGTCTCACGCAACTCTTGGCCCAGCCCCTATGACCCTGATGGCTTCCTCTTGGCTCCCCCCTGCCAACCAAACGGGACCACCAGGCGAGAAACCCCGCTGGGATTCGGAGCGCCGAGTGAGCAACTGGAAGCTTGGCCCGTGCTTGGAAGTGCTTGGAGTTGGACTCAGGTGTTAACTTGGTTTCTGTTGACCCCTCTGCAAAAAGTTGAACTGTTTGTGAGTTTAGTGGAACACCCCTTGATGTTCCAAAAAGTTAAAGTCTAAAGACCCAGCCCAATAGCAGTTCAGTCAAGAAGAGCGATATGTCTTGCATAGACGAAGGGCATATCCGATGCGTGCTGCACTCAGCCAGCCACTCGCAAAGTGCAAGATGTACCCTACCCCTACCCCAGAATTTACAAGCTAGCGCACGTGAAATACCGGTGTTGGTCCACGTCATGTGGGCTTAGCGTGGCATGTGCTTTGGTAGTTCTTGTTTGACAGGCCTGCGACTTGGGAAGAGCAAAATCGGGGGATCCCTCATCCGAATTCGTAATCTTACCATCTTACACAAGCTCAGTTGCCTAAAGGACGTAAGAAATATAAGGTTAACCTTGAGGAACTTTGACTAGAAGTGGACCAAATCGGGAAAACCAAAAGGTCAAAAGGTCGGATCTGGGCAGTGAGAATGGATTAAGGACTGACAATGAAGAATATCATACGGCAAGGAATGGTGAGCAAGAAAAGCTGGAAAGGTTGCCTTCTCCGTACGTTTTCCGCTCTAAGGTACAAAGAGAACGAAACAATTATGAGGAGGAAAGCCCGAATAATATTATCGCTTCATCATCTTTTGTATAGCTGTTGAACCGCGGACTGGCCAGCTAGCTTAACCACTTGGCCGCGCAATGCCTCGAACTGCCGCTAGCACATACTTGGTGATCGCTGTGCCCCGGCTTCTTTGCAACATTTGCGTCGTGTGCCCGGCTTCTTTTTTTGCTGGCTGTCAAATGAGTCTGTCGTTTTTTGAGGGGACCCCCCCGCCAAACTGGTGGCGTTTTCTGTTGGCTTCCCTATTAAAAACGCCAAACCAGGGGTAGCCTCAACAGAAGACACCAAACCACCAGGACCTCTGTGGGTTCCTTTCGGGGAATTAATTGCTTGAGCACACAGCTTGTCTCGGCACCCAATTGGTGGAATTACCCTCCTGTGCAAGACTCGTGGACGACCTTTCCTTTTGCCAACTACCCAAAGACGAAAGGTGACTTTGGTCTTCGGATGGACGCGTCTGACTTTGCCATTGGTGGATCACCTTTGTGGACCTTTAGCAAAACATGGACCGAACATGGAAAACCTAAAAAATAAAATGGTGTATCCTTTTTGATGAACTGAGTCTGGTCAGGGGTTCTGTGCACCCGAGTGCAACTTGCCGCGAGGCAAAGCAATATCACCGCGCCCATGCTGCATGGCCGTGTCACAGGGCAGAGAGGCCATGATAGATCGTCCAAATCCTGCGCTGACCGAAACAAACAATTGCGGCCCGCCATGAAAGCAAATGGCCGGCAAACTAGGTGTCTTCAGGTTTTAGGGTTTCAAAGTGAAAGCAAAAGGAAACCTTGGGACAACCCCAACAGGTGCAAAACCCGGCAAAAAAAGGAGTGTAACTCGAAGCACCAGGCCCAAAGGCTTCAAGCGCTTGAGGAAAGTGCGGCAGCCTAAGCCTAGATCAGCTTTTGCTCCACTCAAATGTATGAGCTCTAAGGTTTATGTGTAGTGCCTGGTCCATATCTAAGCTGACAAAGATCCAAGCCAGGGAATTTGCAGGCATCCAGGCTCTCGCGATTTCTTTGAGGGCTGTTTGTCGGCTTGAAAGGTCCCCGGGGATTTTGACTTGGAAGTTGAGAGCTCCAAGAGAGACAGATACTTTATAACCCAGACCCCCCGGAATTATGGGAAACAGGGCACTCTTTTTGTTGGATCGATTTTGAAGAAAGCTCCTCCAACAAAAGGGCAAAAAGTTGGTGTCTGGTAAAATGGCGCCCCATCCGAATGCTGGGTTGTCTTTCGGCTCACATTGCAAGACCATCCTGAAGCCTGAGTTCAGGGCCGCAAATGGCAAGCCTCTCATTTCGCCCCTCATGCCGTATGTCGGATATGGCCCCTTCACATATCAACCGAAAACAGGGTGGGAGTGACTTTGGGGATACCAATGAAGGCCTTCAAAATGACGATTTCCCCATTTTAAGGCCAGGTTCCCTATCAGAAAAGTGCCACCCACCCCCTCATTCCACTGACCCAAAACAAGCCCGCAAACCTCCAGTGGCAAAGGCAATATGGACTGTTCAAGGGAAACATCTCCAGAAACAACACAACAGAACAAACATCGCCACTGGAAGATCATTTGAAAGAGCACTTTGACACGTTGGCTATTACAACCCCCCAATCGTAGGCAACACCATCCGGCTCACTCAAAATGGGTGACTTGCATCTAGCGTCACAAGAACCTGGAACCCGTTTCCACCCAAAAGGAGATCCCTCCAATCGGGTATGTATCAAAAAAACGGGGAATTCAAGATTGTGGCTTTCCTTTGGCTTCCCCTTAAAGCTACACCACAGAAGGGTAGGCTCAAAAAAAACGACACGCCCACGTTTTGTTTGCAACCAAAAAGGCCGAGGCGCAGCGTGTCTTCCCCATCTGCCGTGACCGCCGCCAGGACGGTGGTGGTGTGCTCCGATTCCGCAAGGCCCGCGTGCTCCACCTGCATTCAACTGGTGGCTTCCTTCAAGGGAATCCCCAGATTCATTCCCCCATGCGCTGCTGACCAGCAAGGTAGGGGGCTCTGGAAAGTTGAAAATTACCCATCAACTGTTGGTCCCCTTTTGGGTAGCTCAAAATAGTTTCCTGATATGATGAGAGCTGGTTATGAATCTTAAAGTACCCCCAAACCACATTCTAATTAGGCCCTTACAGTGTCTGGAGTTTCAAAGGCGCGTTCTGTTTGATTGTTTAAAGTAGCCCTCAACTTGTTTGTTTCCCTTTGGGAAAATCCAAAGTTGTGGCTGCTATGTCGCAACAAGTAAGACACCAGCTTCATGAATCTTTACCCCCCGGAATGGGAGAGCATTTGCAAGCTGCCTAAGGAATTCCTGATGGCAAAAGGGGATTTTCGGGAAGGATCCCGAACTCCATCCTGGTGGCTTCCTTGAACGGAATCTGGTTCATTCCCAAAATGCCCTCTTGATTCCGGAATGGAAACAAGCAAGACAAGAAGATTACCCTGTCTCAAGCGTGGAAGCTAACACGATTTTGGAAGACCCCCACCCCCCCCCCTGCAGATTAACATGCAACCAAAACGACACTGGCTTGGACTTGGATCCCTTTTTCAGGTATGTTCAGTTGTAGGGGAGCAACCTCTTGGGGCCGGTAGCAACATCGGCTTTGGGCCACTCATACAATGACATACCGCGTTCCTGAACAAGTGAGGGGCCGTCTTCCTAACGTGCTAGGGAAAGGACCACTTCTGTGCTACCTCCTGCAAATTGGCATGGAAGCCCAAAAACTATTTGCAGAGGAAACTGGGCAAACCCCTTTTGGGTTTCAAGACAATTTGCAGAACTGTAAGTGCACATGGACCCTGAGATGTCGCTTCAAAGGGGCATTCCCTTGGTATCACTGAACGTGGCCAGAAATCCGAGTTTTCACAAACAACGCTTTCAAACAACACTTTTGAACAACACTTTCCGTGGACCCCCTTAAAATCTCCTGATCATGTATATATGGCTCACATGGGTGGTGATCAAAACTATGGCCCGCTCTGTGGTGCTGGTTGTCGTGCTTGGCAGCTGAGCCACGGACAGTATGCAATCTGTTCCCCTCATGGAAAAACGAGTGAGCCCCCTGGTTGCTGTGGGAAGTTTAGTGCGTTCTTCATTCCCAGATGCAAAATTGACCATAGACTACTTCAAGGTTCGGCCGTCCCATTCTTTAAACATGAAGCCGGCACTGTCAAAACCACAGCAACTGGTGGCCTTGTTAGGCAAACAGTGCCTGACTGGAACAATTGTGCTCCAACTCTGCTGGAAATGGGTGTGCCTTTTTTGAGGGACCCAACAAAATAAGTGATTCTCCTTTGGCTTCCCGTTAAAACGCACCTCCAAAAAATACCCTCGATAAAAGGCACATCCATATTTTGGCCAAACCAAGCCTGTACGCCCAGGGTTGTGGAAGAGTGGCAGCCGTTCATCTCCCCCGCGTGGTGGAAGGACGCGTTCAGACCGCGCAGCGAGATGGTGTACCAGGGGAAGAACTGGAGTTGCTCAAATGCTTGCTCAGTTGCCCTGTGAACCTGTTCGAAAACCATGAAGCCTTTTAAACCTGACCACGTGACATGAACTCTGACCAACTGGGGTTTGAAATGGTTTGAAATCAAAGGTTCCAGAGTCCTCCTGCTGCATTAAGCGATCATCACGGATCAAATGCATCCTCGCGTACGGTGGATGTCCTAAATTTGGAACATGTTGGCGGTGGTTGATCCAACATGCCATCATCCACTGGTAGTTGGTGGGGCTTTGGCCACACAAACGTTCGTGTCTGCGTGTGTGTTGGTTTTTGAGGGTAACCTTTTCGGAGTAGATTCAAAGGGAAGCCAAGAGGAAACCACTCACCTTGGGTGTTGCCCTGTTTCGTGAAACGCACAACCTCCTATGGGTTCCCCTTTAAGTCGGGGCCAAGGCCGGTTGTTTCGTCAAGTCCCGCGGAAAAATGGGGCACAGGTTCTTAGAGTACCCAAAAAGCAAATCGACTTGAAATTGAACGAGATGCTTGAAACCAGCAAGCGAAACCGGCAAGCGAAACCAGCAAGCGAAACCAGCAAGCGAAACCAGCAAGCGAAACCCACCCCTGGAAAAACCAAAACATGCGGCCCTTCTTTTGGTCGAAAAGCCAGTTGCGGCTATTCAACCCAAACAAGCCGGAACAACCGAGAGGAATCGAATATGTGGCAGGGTCCAGGAAAGCAATTTTCGCCACCGCCTCGGTGGTAGACCCGGAAAGGAACTCTTGCATGGCCTGGCTGTTGCATACCTGGCAACATGAGACCAAAAACGACTTCCTACAACTGCTCATGTCCCATTTTTTCTGTAGACATTTTGATGCTCAAGACAGCTGGCACAACCCCCGTTCCCGTTGTTTGCCCGGCCAATGCGGCGCCAGAAGGGGCCGTTTGGGACCGGGAGGCCCCGCCAACTCTGCGGAGGTACTTCGCCGGTTCAGAGGCCTTTCAAACCCAGCCATGCAATATGAGCGGCCAAAGAAATTACACGCATTCGCTTATGAGCGCTTTTGTGGGTGTCACGTCCTGAACCCGAGTCCAACTATTGAGGGCCTTTTAATAGGGAACAGACTTTGGGGCAGGGAAGGCGGAGTATGGAACAGACTCAGACCATGCTATTTTCTGTGTTCCCCAGATGTGGGCTCAGGTTTGGGTAGTGTGGTTGGCTTGCTTTGGCGTAGGGTGCATGTTTGGCCGTGCTGGGCTCATATGAGCAAACAGCAAGCTAGCACGCTTATTATGGTCTTAGCAGCGTGTGTGTCTGTCTGTGTGTATTCTGTTGCTGGCTTGTTCACGCGGGAAAGGGACTCATCTCATTTTGAGAGAGTATGGCTCAGCATCCCTCAAATTGATGGTTTGCATTGTAGTTGTTTGGAGGCCAGGTAACCCAAAAGTGACCAAAGACCGAAACGGAACTCAGGGAGTGAGGTGTAGTGTTGCAGTCCCGGAGAATTGAATAGTCAGGTATCCCTTAGTTGGCGGCTTGGTTTGGTGGTTTGAACCCCTGATTCTGTTGGAGGGTGAATGGGGCTCTTATCCCGGAACATCTCTAAACCACCAATCAAAATCACCAAGAGGGAAGCTGAAATAGTTTTGGAAGCGGACTGAGGAGTTCTAAACTTCGCCGAGCCTCCGGCCAGTTCAGCATGCTCGACCCCGGCAAGAAGCTTTCCTGGTTGCATTTTTTGTGGCCAGAGGCTTTCCAGTAAAACTAATTCAGATGGCTATGCCCAAAAAATGTGGTTTGCCTGGCAGGTTCCCTTGAGACAGCAATGAACCAATCATGAATAGTTTGGAAAGCGTACACCCAATCGCACACATTCGAATGCCGAGGGCTTCTAATGGGAACTATTCCTCTTGGAAAGCTCAACTTTGTGACCCCGGGTAAGCCCCATATCCACTGCCACGATTGCAATTGTTGTGATGGACCTGAAACCGGGCTATCAGGGTGGGGGGGGCAGGGGCGCTCCCTGGATAAGTGCAGGATATGCCAAAGCTGACTAGGGGTGTCATAAGGGAGCCTCCCCATAGGTCCATGATGTTGGAAAGGATGTGTGTCCAGACTCAACACGACCTACCAGCTGCAGCAGTAGCAGCAAGGGATGGCTGTAAGACTCGCTCATCCCTTTAAGACAATGAATGACAATCAGTACCTTCATGAGTTCAATATTTACTTTTGAAAGCGCAAAGGACCGCCACCCCCCTTTAGACATCTGTTTGGATTTACTGGAGTTGGTGTTGTTGTGGAACCGGGTTGGCCCCTTGTTCTCATTTTTGTTGGGGGTCAACAGACCTCACCCAGCCTCGGGCAGGCCGGTCTGCAGCTCCCCCTTAGAGTCGAAGGCCGCCACAGTGCAGGGCGAGTCCTCTCAAGGAATCGAAGCCGAATCCTCAAGCCTGACCTGGCTGTGGGTCAACACCAATGGTATCACTGGGGGTACGGGGTTTTGACCCACAGCCATTTGGCACAATGTGGCCTTTGGCCTGATAAAATATGGTTGCCCTGCAGCCTGCAGCCGCACGCCTCTGGAATCTCATTGCGCTTGGAGCTTTCTACACTTGCCTTGAACGACGAATCTCTAGTGGGTGGGCGAAGCTGAAGCAAACATAGGACTCGGCAACAAACTGTTGTGGTTTTGACACGGGTTTTGCCTGTATTCCAGGTTCCTTGTTGTGGGAAGGCTCATCGGCTCATCTTGCAAGAGCCAACACAGGCCTCCTTTCGGGGGCTCTAAAACTTGAAGTGTCTAAACAGCAAAGACGCTCACAAATGGAGTGTACCTCTCTCTTTTGCCACCCCTCTAAACCAAGGTGACTTGGGCGGGACGTATGTCTGACTCACATTTAGCCTACCCTGCACTACCAGATATGTATGGAGGAGACCTCAGGTGAAACCCTCAGAGAAGGCGACCTGCAGGCAGGACAGTAGAAGTTGAGCGGTTGTCTTTCGCCGCCAGCAAATGGAATGACTCGCCCGAAGCTGGACACGGATTTTTTTGGCCAACCGACGGCCAACATCTGACCTGTACACATGGTTGCCAGCAAGGAACCCTCAAAAAATGTGTCCAAGGTCGACTTGCTTTCCAAAAAAGGTGTCCCCCTTCGCTTTGGACAACTGACTAACCTGCCCTTTGCTTGGGCTTGTCGTCAAAGGCCACAGAGTGAAACCCACAAAACAAGGCCGATTCGCTCAAGATGGTTGGTTGACTTCGGCTTGTGACCCAAGAGCAGTGTCCTTGAAGAGCGTGAGTTGGCCATCCTCAAGGGGCAGAGTCATAATCATGGGCTCCGCGTCCGGCCTGGCCCAATTTATTTTTCAGAACACCTTGTGCTTTGGCCGACTTCCAGGAAAAGCACATAAACTACCAACGCCTTTAAACTGCAACCCACTGAAATCCGTGAAAACTGCGTGTGTTGGCATCAAGCGAGGTGCTGAAAGCTTTGGCGCTGGCTCAGCAGCTCGGCCCACAGGAGGTGAAGATCATGCAGCCCGCTCGAAGGCTGCACTGCGCTTTGGGCCTCCACCAAGAGCTCGTGCTTGCCGAAGTCGAAGACCAAATGGTTCAGCGGCTGCATTGATGGGCTCACTTTGTCATTGGGCCTTGCGTGGGCTTACGGCCGCCTTTGCGCCTTTGCTTCATGTGGACCGGGGGGGATCACTATGACTGGGACAAACGACCGAGTGGTGGACGACATCCACTTCGCACCACTTGGGATGGATGAAGACAACAACCGACGGGCGACGATGGGTGCGGATTGTTTGAGTCCCTCACATGGCCCGTGACAAGCCATGGAAAGGAACATGGCCCCCTGCGCTTGGGCTGAGTTTCTAAGCCCTGGGAACACCTAAGGCAAGTACGCATCCACTTTTGGTTTTCCTCAGGGTAAACTAACGGACACCAGCTATGGGCTATTGATCGCGCCCAGTAACGGAAGGAATCCCAAAGAGGGTACCCCAAAAACCCCATTCTGGGCTATTCAGCTCGCAGATCAAGAGAGAGACGCGAGCAAAAAAAGAACTGCCATCTACACAGCCAGGGGCGGTTCTGTGTCGCACTCCCCGCATTCGCAGTGGTAAACGAATCGGCGCGGCAAGTAGGTCTCCTCGCAGGGGTCGAAAGGCTTGAACAACCAACCGCTGCTTAAAGGGGCATTGTACCTAGTAAGTGGGTAGCAACCATGGCTACAACCCACTTGCCATGGATGTAAGTCTCCTAAGTGGGCTATAACCAGGCTTACAAACCACCTACTAAACTACCCTGCCCTTTTGTGTGGCTCCCTTACAAAAGCAAAAAGAGCTTGTAATGAAACCCATGACCAACTCGAACCCTGGTCCTCACCCTTGGCGATTGACACAACATCCAGCCCCGGCGCGCCAGCAGACAGCAAGGCAGACAAATACCGGGACCAGTCAGGTTGAACCTCGCGGGTGTCCCGCTGCTTCTTTGCCTGGGTCAAAGACTCGGGGTGTTCGCAATGCTTGGCTCGAGGAAACGGGATATCCAGGATTAATTATGAATAATTGGCAGGGCACCCCTCAAGTTGGATGGCTCATACCGAACTTCCATTGATTACTTGACAAACCTCTGGTTGGCTAAGTGGGGGGTACCAGTGAGAATACGGAACATTTGGGGGGGCGACACACGAAAAACATACCTTCAGATTCTGCTTTACAAAATGCGAGATGTGGCAGGACTGGCCGAAAGGCTGAAGCCGTCACCGTTTGCCACAAGCGCGCCATCCCCCCCGCCGGAACACCGGAGTGGCAACCTAAACAAGGAGAAGCCTGCGCCCGGGCAAGATGTAGCCCACGAGGAACGTCGCAACAGCAAGTCTCAGCAAACGGCAAAGCACGCGGCCGGGCAATGTGGAATGTCAGCATGATGTGGGAGAAGAAAAAAAACGTCTAGAAAGGACACGGCGCAAATGGAATCCCCTGCCGCGCACGTAGGCTTCCCGGCTTCCGTCTGTGCCCGCTGTCTTGCCCCCCCACCCCTGCACAAACCCAAGGAAAGCCCCTTTGAGGCCAGCTTTCGGGAATATAATCGGGTACGTTCAGATTGTTTAAGTTCAGCCAGCCTTATCTACACAATTGGGGAATCGTTCCATTTCTCTTAGCACGTCAAGCGGCGTCGTGGCAGTAGGCTTCTCGCACGGCCTGGTTGAAGTCAGGCAGCCGGTAGCTCTCCACCCCCTCCCCCTGCAAGTCCGCTCCGTCGTCGGCATTCTCTACAAACCTTGGGACTCAGAAAGGCTTGCTGCTGCGCTAAAGTGCCCACCGCCAGGCGCATTCTCTCCGAGCCGATCTACACGGCGTTCATGGTTGGGCATGTTCTTGGCTCAGCATGTGAGCAAATTGTCTTGGCTCAGCATTTTGGTCAAGGGCGAAACTGTAAGCGCTGTAAGATGGTCCCAAAATGTTGACCTTGAGACTCGCAAACATGGTTAAGCCATAACGTCAAAGAACTAGGATATGACAAACGTTCAGGACGCCAAGAAGCCCTGTACTTCTCATGCCAGCCAGCAAGTCCACACTTGAAGAGCAAGGCAAAGAGCCATGCTGCAACACCAGGTGTGCTCTGTCCACGGCTCTGTGGAAATCCTTGAGGCATGGTCAAGATTGATTCAACCCCAACTGACATGGGTGTGAATTTGAACAAGGCCCTTGGTGGACATCTTGGTGGGATTGCAAATGGCAGCGTATGTCTCATTAAACATGATAGCAACATCACAATCTGGTAAGTAACCCCACTTGCTACAGCACATGATGGTATATATTCTGGGTCATTGGGCGTCTCTTTTTTGGGGACCCCCCTCCCCCCCCCCCCCAAAAAAAAAAAAGGGGAGGTTAAACCAAGAAACGTGTTTCTTCTTGCTTTCCTTACAGCTACCAAACAAGGCGCCCTCCAAAACGCACACACACACACACATCAGATTGACCCGCCCGGCTCCTGTTCTGCATCGCCGGTGCGAGACGCGACATTGTAGATGGCCCCGTAGCAGGGTTTCGACTCGAAGACATCCTTTAAGAGTTGCGGTAGAGGCACCTGGGAGAAAGCTGCGGGAGTTTGACATGAGGGGAGCAACCCAAAAAGGGAAGCTCTCAGCCCAAAGCAGACATAGAAAGGTGATCACCCTTTGGGGCCATGACCAAAAAGTTAGCCAAAAAGAGCATAACAGGCCAAAAGCGTCAAACGAGCCAAAAGGTTGGCTTTGGGCAAGTGAGAGGCCCCCGGAAAATAGTGGCAGTGTCCTTTTGCTTTCCCTTCCAAACCAATGCCAAAAAGGATCCCCGCAAAAGAAGACGACACACCAAAGGCGGCGATGGAACATCTGGGGCCCTCACAGCCGCGACTTTCTGAGTGGATGGATCGAAGTCCACGGTGTACTGAGCTCCGTCCCATTCCTCATACGCCTTGTGCCCCAGTAGGTGAAGTGCATACATGGCCGCCACCCGCAAATGACCCGTGCCTGGATCGAAGCGTCGCATGTAGAACGTGTATTCTGGTCGTGTGTCGGAGCTTGCGCGCATGTTCCCCTCGCGGTCGCCCAGTGTCACTACTTAAGGGGGCAGTGCACTTGGTACGTGGTTAGTAACCATGGTTATACAAACCAACTATCATGATTATAAGTCTCCGTTCAGTGAGTTATATCCATGGCTACTAGCCACTTACCAGACGTACCCGATCGCACAAGTTCCAGGCCAAAGGTTGGTCGTTCAAGGCGCTGGTTGAACCGCTAGCGGCATCTCCTTCTCCCTTGAGGCGGAAGGCAGCAACCGGGCCTTTAAGGTAGGCCAACTCGGGCATTTGGAACCTTGCAGCAACTCAGACATCAAAAAACACGCATCGCATGGAAAGCCCAAAGGTGTCCCCCAAGCGGTCTTTTGACCCCCTTGGCACACGAGTCAAGGGTCCCAGAAATCAAAGGCCATCAAAGGGAAAGCCAAAAGGTAAAACGGCGATTCGCTTTGAGCTGAGGCTACCCGTGGCGCTCCAGCAAGGGGTTGGGCGTCAAAGGCGCCGCCTCTTGAGCCGTCCACTTCCGGAGCTCGGGCTCGGACTCGGAATCCTCAAAACACCAACGCGAGGAAAAGGCAATTGCCTAGATAGCTAAGTTGCTGCTTTTTTCCAGCCACTCTTGCGGGTTTTTGGGGTAAAGTTCATGGAAAAAAGCAGCAACTGGCGATCCAGGTGGCTTTTTAAAAAGGAAACTGGCTCAACAAAAAAGAGGAACCATACCCCTAGAACACTTTCTTGGTTGGTACTTTTTCTTTTTAAATCTGCCGACGAGAAAACTTTGAAAGCAAAGGATGCCGCTGGGCTGCGACGGGCGGTTTGCCGCTGGGATGGAAATAGCGGTAAGACAGGGCTTTCTCGTAAAAGTCGTTGCTGGGCTTGCCTCTGAGCTCGTTCTGCTGAGCCTCCCTGAACCACCGCAAGGCCTGCATGTGATCCTTGGTCGGCCAATGGCTTTTCCACTCGTGCGCAAGGAAAACTCGGCCGGATGCTCTATTGCAAGTGGATTCACCACATCCAGGCACAAACGCGATGCAAATTGTGGTATTGACTTGGCATCCTAGGGGTTCACCAGCCTGGCAAAGGGCTCTGAGGTGAAAGAACCCGCATTCGGGGCACTGAATTCAATTCAGGCTGCAATCTGAAAAGGGCACGTTCGGATTTTTTGCAGGTTTCATCGAGAAGCAGTTGGAGCAAATTAGAAAGGACCTGAAAAGGGTCCTTTGGCCGCTTAACAACCACCTCTTCTTGGAAGGACCGCTGATTCCAGTTAACAATCAAAGGAAACAACCTTTAAAATTTAAAATGAAATTCCCTGGTTACCACTATAATTGTACCTGGGTTGCATCAGTCACTGGGGTATGTATGTGCAAAAAAAAGAAGCTGGACCCCAACAGTTGTGGGCAACCCGAAATGGGTTACCTCAAAAAAAAACAAAAAACGGCAAGAAACAAGAGCTAGACGGGCCAAGCGTCTCTCCGTTCGTCAGAAGTCAACAGCACTCGGGGCAAGGACGGTCTCCTCGCTTGAAAATGGAGGCCTTTCTCACAACAGGTCGGTGTAATGTTGTCCTCTGATTCACAAACCCCAGTTATTAGGAAGAAGGGGTCCCCGCTGGAAGAAAGGATTCCCCACAAAAAAGAAACCCTTCTCAATAATGGGGGGGGTTATTAATCAGGGTCAGCATTACTGGTGAATCGCTTTAGGTTTGCTTGACATCTGAGTGCCCGTGTTTTTTTCCTTTTTCTTTTTTCTCCTTTCGAGGCTCGGTGTCCTTTTCACCTTGGTTTGGGGGGGGGAACACCGAAAGGCATCCCACGGAAACCTTAATCAAGGGTCAGGGCACCACCCGATGCGTCGCACTAAGGAAAAGTTCATGGCATCTCCTGGCTCGCCCTTACCAGGGGGGTCTTTTTGCCAGCTTTGGTGGAAAAATGATCGACCCCTTGTAGTGAAGCATTCCTTGAGGGGGTCGCCAATTTTCTCACAAAAGGTGGCAAAACGACACCCCTGGTTTCTACAGCAGCAGCCTGTGGAATTAGTTCAGAATCCAGGAGCCATTTCCCAAGCAGGTGGATCTACAAAAGGATTTCCCCCCCGAGCATGGCCAAACATCTTGCCACGTAGGTCTCCAGCGGTATATGGTTGCACCCCAAAGGACAAGAGAGCCCATTCCAAACCTATTGGTAAACTTCAAAGAACTTATCTGGAAAGGATTTCGTATTGTCGCTTTAGCCTAAGATAGAAAGCCGATTTAACCGTTTCCTGAATAAATGTTGTTTAGCTTCGAATCAGAGTTTCATCACAATCCTCTGGAGAAGGAATTCCTTGTCCAACAAAATGCAGACAGAAACAGAAATTCAACAACAAAGCACAACAACAATCCGGCAGGGGCAGCTAGTATTTCCGAGGGGTGAATAGAAAACCAAAATGAACAAACACATCGGGAACTCGGGAAAACACCACAAACAATCTGGCAGGGGAAATTCTTGGCACATGAGCAAGGCCCAAAAACAAATCCTTTGTCAGAATGTGTACGTGTATGTTATATCGCGGTACCTGGGATCCTTGGAGGGGCCTTGCGTTTCGCACACCGCCGGCGTGTTCGCGCGCCCCCGGACACGCCACGCGAAGGCCTCACCATGACGTCAGTGCGGAGCACCGCCTTCTGGCCATTTTGGTCCGGCAGGCCTTCCTCGAGCGACGGAGCAAAGTCGAAGAAAAATCCTTCAGCTTCCGCAACTAGGTCCTCCAGTAGAGAGGTTCGAATAAGGGTACCCAATGATTTTCTGTAGTCTGTCTTAGTGGAACCCTCCCCCAAAAAAGGGTAAGGGCACTACCGGAAAACCTAGGCAACGGGTGGAAGCTCTGTTGGGCCCATGGGGAAAAGTTGAAGTCACTAGAGACGGTTGCCAGGCGGAAGCTGAAACAATCCGCTTTGGTGGAGTTTGGCCGAAAATAGCCGGAAGTGCTCATTTACCACTCACATGGTCCACAAAAGTGTCAAGTCCAGGAGTCTCCTTCTCACCCGAATCAAAAATCGGTCCATGCCCCCATTTTTTGGGCAATGACCCCATTATTGAGGGTAGTGACCAACCGTTGTTAAAGGGTCATGGAGACTCCAGGAAGTCCAGGGAGCGAGCTTGCGGCGAGCTTCGTGCAGCAGCGCCTGGCCGAAGACGAGTGGGCAGCCCGCAGATAGCACCTGGCACCCCCGTGACTCGGAGTGGGGATCCGTGTCCGTGGAATGCATGGGACACCCAAAGTCACTTGGGTCATAATCCAAACCCGGTATTCCAATGGTTCTACCCAGAACCATGGCCTACCCAGAACCAGGTAAAAAATTAAGAAGGGGGCCGCAACTATTTATGGTTGGGATTGACCCGGGTGTTGATTGTGGCTCACTTGATGGTGCTCAGGGAATGTGGAAATGAATCCAGCGGGTCCTCCCAAGGAAACCACAATGGATGGATTAGAAGGGTCATTCCATTTCTCATTCCCTGCTGAGAAGCAAGATGCTCTTTGCCTCTGATGGGCTTCTAGGAAGTGCTTGGTTGATTGGAATTCGCGAAGCTTGGCAGCTCGCGGCTGCAAAGCCAAACGCAACAAAACCCAAACGTGGAGGGCCTTCCTTTGCCCACTCCTCATTTCGCCGATTTCGCCTTAAGGTTTGATACCGAAAAGACACCCACAACGTAGGTGGTTTCCTTTTAGCCTTCGCTTAAAACCAAAGGGGGGCTCCTGCAAAGAGCAGCTCCCTTCAGGCCATGAAGTCTGTACGGTGGATGCCCCAAGTGCGAGGTAAACCAACCACACTCAACCCCGAAAAAGCCAAGAATATGGGGCTTTGATGGGTTTCACCCCGGTTGATTTTAAGAATATCTGGTTGATTTTGAGTGAGTGCCCTCCTTTTAGTGGGAACCCGGATCGATTATGGGAAACACCCCGCAAGTAGGATGGGTTCATCCATCCGGGGCTCCCATTGGTTGAACTTGGCCAAACCAACATCCGGGACCCGCCGCAAATGAACAACGCCGGACCCATTGAACAATAACAGCTAAGCATGCGCTAAAGTTTGGCGCTCTTGCCATTTGGGAGGCGCTCGACTTCAAGAGCGGGCCAGGCTTTCTTTGATTTGCGGGTCTTTCAGGGTACCTCTGCTTCAAAAGGGATGTGTGTTCTTTCCAGAAGCCACCTAGTGTGGATGGACGAAATCCTGCACCACTTTGAAACCATGGGTGAAACCATTGTTCGTTGGCATTTACAGGGGGATCGAATCATTCTATGGTTTTTTGGTGGTGCGAAGTGGATTTATTTCGTCCATCCACAGAAGGGACCCACTTCTGGACAATACTCGGTTGCGTTCTGCTCCCCTGCTAAAAGTTTAACTTCAAGTAGTTTAACGGAAAACCCATTAGTTGGCAACAAGTCAAAGTCCCAACATCCTTTGGCGAAATGCACCAAAGAATAGACCAGCCCCTTGAAAAAACAGGAAGCAGCTTCAAGCTCCGGCGCGGCATCCGTGGGCCAGAAGCCCTTGTGCAGACCGCCGCGCGCATCCAGCTCTTCCGAGAGACTCATCCCACGGAAGTCCAGCGGCGCCTACCCAAACTGGGCTGCCCTCAGATCCCCCGCTAAAAGTTTAACTTTTAGTGGGTTAAATGGGTGTGGCTCAAAATTAAAGAGCAGGGGTTACGCAGGTTTTGGTCTTTGTTTCCATCCAAGGGGCCCAAAGATTGATGCCATTTTTTTGAGCCACAGCCAAATGGAAACCACCACTAAAAGGCTAAAAGGCTAAAAGGCCAAGGGGATGGCTGGGAGCCACCAAGCAAAGAGTCAGCTTTCAAACCGAATTCGTGGTTTGAGTTGGTGGTTTGGTGGTATTCCGGGGTGGGAAGCCGAATTTACACTCAAGAACCAGAGCTTCAAATCCTACGTCAAACCACCAATCTAAATCACTAGTTGAGGGTCACGTGAAGAAGAGCATCAAACATACAAAGCGACATCTAGGACCCCAAATGGGTGGTATAGCTTGCGCGTTCCCAGCGGGCATTTTCGAGGATTTGAGTAAATCCAGGAATCTCCTGAAAGGAAATCACACGGAATAATTCTTAGAGCTCATCTGCTCATTCGCTAGTGACAACCAGCAAGATAAGGGGTTCCTTTTGCTTGAATGGTGACCCGAATTGATCAAATGGCGAATGTTCCTCCGAAATTTAAGGTTCCCCTCTAACATGGGTTGCTTCCCCGTATCAATCAACCATGGGGTTTGTGAATTTGTGGTTCCCTAAATGGAGTCTAACAATCAATGGATTCTGGGATGCTACACGCATCATGATCCGTTGGTGCACGCTGAACCTCGTTTATTAGAACCCGTGTAGGCCCTGGCGTCAAGCAAGCCCAAGCGCACACACCTTGGGCTGGTAGAACCGCGTGCGCCCAGCGCTGGTGAGCGGAATCAGCAGCGTGCAGAAGGACCGCTGGGAGTGGTCGGGGCTGAAGGCCGCGTCGCGGTGTGGTTTCAGGAAACCCTCAGGCCCGTAGGAGTTGATGCGGAAGCAGCTGTTCAAACCCGCCAACTCCCATTCCTTCGGTGTCCAAGCGAAAACAACAAGTCTTAGGACGCGTTTGGCTCATTTCTTGGAATCATTTGAGCCAGGGGCAAAAGATGGAGAACGTTGCCAATTCTCTACCCAGATGCGCCCTGCGCACATCCAAATCCTAGTGGCCGCTTGCTCTCCGCTGCTAGTGCCTCCTCAAGGAAAGGTCTCATGCGGGTCCACAACAACTCGGATAGCCTCTCATCTTGCACCACCACACGGTTGTATCGGCGGGTGCCCTGTTGGCAAGACAACTCCTGCAGGATTCGCTCTTGATTATTCCAAATCTGGGGTGCACAGTAAACAGTCTTGTGTTTTTGTGTCATTGAGCCAACCCTTTCAACACCTTGTTTCGGCCCCATGTAAGGGGTTCAATAATGAGGGAGTCACATCCATTCGCAGCACCCTTTTGTTGGTGTGCTTGATGATGAGGAAGCCCCTCCCAAAAGAAAGGATGGGGCGAGGCCTGAAGACCATAACGAGTCTCAAAAGAGGGCCCATCTTCCAGAAAGTCTACATAGGCATGTATTTTGCTTGGGAACCCTTGGATGTGTGTGTGTGTGTGTCTCTGTGTCTGTGTCTGAGTTTGTGTTTGCACGTTTGTGTTCGTATGTTCGTAAATGAATTAATGTTAAATTATTGCGTTTCGAACTCCTATGCCGAATTGTGCTGTCTTTGTCACAGTTCACCTAAGGACCGCCCGTGACCCTACAAACAGCCGCCGTTCATGTTTAAATTCCGAGCTACAAAGTCAGAGGCCCAAAACTGAGCACAAAAAAACATTTCACGAGAATTGCTCAAATGCCAATGTGCGAAGACTCCAAAACCTGGCTAAAACCATGCCCGTGTGTGTCTCAAAGGAAACCTAGTTTGTTTTAGCTGAACTTAGGCACAAGTTAGAACCAACTTAAGAGCGCTGTCATGGTACTTTTGACGTTAAGTGGCGGTAAGGTGGTTGGTAGTCGTGCTATGGATATTAAGCCCCGCTAATCCAAATGATCATAATAATAGTTTGAACAACAACAAACATAGCAAGCATTAGTATAGCAGTATATGTTTTAATACTATCCTTTATTTGTGCTTGCTAAGCTAGCTTTCGGCTAGCTTTACTATCGCTTACATGTTTTTGCGAATGTTTGCTAACCATTTTACTAGTCCAAATTGCCAACCCGTTTCGGGGCCACCGCGCTTTGCAGCTCCAAATTGCTAACTTGATTGCTACGTTTGCAAATATGTCCTGCGTGTTCCAACCGTTGGCTGGACATTTCACTCAAGTTGTTGGTTGGTTTGTTTGTTTGCTTGCTTGCTTGCTGGCTTGCTTGTTTGTTTGTGTGGTTGTTTGCGTTTTTGTTTGTTTGTTTGTTTGTTTTTTTGTTTGTGTGGTTGTTTGCTTGTTTGCTTGCTTGGTTGATTGTTCGTTCGCTTGCCTGCCTGCACTGCAGTCCTAGGCCTGGAGACGCGCAGCTTGGCAAGTTATGCACCCTTGCCCTGACGGGCGCTGCCCTGAAGAACAAGAAAAATAGTAAAACCTTCCTGCAACACGGCGCGACATTCTACCCGAGTTTCCCTTCCAAGCCCTGTGAAACGACGTCCTGGGGGACAAATGCCAGGCTTTTAGCTGCTGACTCGATGTTCCGGCACTCGGTGTCTGTCAAGACTTGGGGCAACTGAGCCGCGCAGCCACAGCCTTTGGCGGCACCGGTCAGAATTGTCTTCACCTTCAGGGTGTTTCGCGCGGGGCTTTGCTTGTGTCTAGCGACCACTACCCATTCTATTCAGGGATGCTTATCTTCAACAAATCGGCCAACACCCTGGAAAAATGGCCGTTTCTACAGAGAGCGATTGGTGAAGAGAATTGGGAATCAACCCATAGGCTTTGGCCCCCTCAAAGGGGGAACCAGAAGTGATCTCTTTTGAGGGCCCGTTTACTCCTGCGTTTCTCCCCCTAAAAATGTGGTCGCACGGCAAGCCCCGGCTTCACGGGTTGCACAAAACAGGGCCAGCACCGTTCGGCGGCTACTCCTGTGCAAGTGAACACGGAACCCAGAAATTGACAGGCCCCTCGAAAAAGCTCCCACGTGACAGCTGGCCGGGTTCCATTCTCATTGCAGTGCGATTGCTAACATCATGTTTGATGGAGACTAGCATTGTTAAAAGATCTTCTGAAGGGGTGGAGGATGTCAATTTCAGGGACTTGGGAAAACAAGAATCCTGGCTATCAAACCAGCATCCTGTTGGCAACCGGGTGTTCGTTCGGTATGGCTAACACACTTCCTCACAAGTGGGCAAAAAAACCAGCACCGACCCCAAACAGCAATTGCAGTGGAGGCAAACCAAGCTTGCAAGTCGAGTGGCTAGGGACATGACATTGCCCTCGTGCGAGTTGGGCGCAAAGAACGAGGAACAATCTCGCAGCGCTCATTTCTACGCAGGACAGCGCACAAACCTCGAATAGCAGCAGGCAGACGCTCCAAGCCGCCGCAACATTTGTACGACGTCGAATGGGCTGTCAGGCTTCAGCAAGAAGACAGGCACTTTTTCAAAGACTGCGAGCGCACGCACCTTGCTTGTGCGCGCAGATTTCCGCTTAGCAGCGTGCTGCTGGCCAGGGCACGCCCGCCAACGAATGCGTTATCTTCAAGGCACTGCAAGCCTTCTCCCATTCCAGCGATCTTCTCGCCAAAAAGAGCTGCGCTAAATCTGAATATTTGGCCAGTTTAGCTTCGTTCTTGCAACCGAGCCCACATGAGGCGGACTTGTTTGACAGATGGCTCGTCGGGCGGCGGTGTGAGTCACAGGGCAGCTTTTTTGCAAACAAAAAGACACAAAGCCAAAGGAAGCTTGCGCCAAACTGTGGCAATCGCGCAGGACAGCTGCACTCGCAAAAGACGCTTCACGCCGGGTGTGGAGCTATGAAGCAGAGCGACTAGATCCGTGCAAAGTCGGCAAAGTTAAAGGTTGTCAGGCAGAAGAAGTGGACCCAAGAGAAAAGTGGGGAGATAAGCCGTGACGTGCCGTGACAAAGCCTGAGTCAGCAAGCAAAAGCAGGTGAAAGCGGGGAGAAAAGTGGTAATAAGGGAGTCAGCAAGCACGAGCAGGGAGACAACATGGAGACAAGCCGTGACAAAGTCCGCGTTGCCAATCACAAGCAGGAAGCGGGGAGACAAGTGGGGAGACAAATGGGCAAATAGAGAGATAAGTGATATGATAAGTGGTCTGAGTGAGCAAGCACCAGCAACTGTCTGAGTCACGAGCGCAAGCAGGGAAGCAAGTGACAAGGTCAGCGTCACAAAGCACAAGGAGGAAGACAAGTGGGAAGACAAGTGGGGAGACAAGTGGGGAGACAAGTGGGGAGACAAGTGGGGAGACACGCCACCAGGCGCAAACTATATGGTGACTGGGGGCATTTCTTTGCAAAACAACCTGTTCATTTGCCACCGAAAGTAGACTTCCCCACAAGCAGAAAGCAGAACTGAGCTATACAAGCGGGCAAGCCATCCCGACCTCGCCAGCGACTTCAAGATCTTCTATGTCAAGTAGCAAGGTCGCTCTCTGGCACTCATCCAGCAGGCCCAAGGCTGAGTTGGACTCTAGGAACTCGGATCGCCTATCCGACTCCGGGATTCAACTTGGGAACAAGATTGGAGGACCCCCTCCCCAAAAAAAACAATAACAAACAAAGGTGTTCCGCGTGGTTCCCCCCTATCTCCACAAACAGAGGTTCCCCAACACACAGCCGCGTGAAAGTAACGATTTGCGCGAAAATCTTCACTGACTTGGGGTATCAAGCGGTGACAACAAATGATTTCGCGGCCCATTTGGCAGTGCTTGAGGCACCGACGCCCGCCAACTCTCAGCTCGCCTACTCTTCGGCGGGCTCGTGCCCACACTCACCAGCGGCGCTTGGTATGTGTTCGTCAGCCGCACCTCTGATCCAGACTGTAGCTCATAGCTTGCCAAGTCGTAACCACCGGCGTCTGATACATGCCACCTGTTCGCAGCAATCAATCTGGGAAGTGTTCTGGGAGGCAGCCCGATCTTCTCCGCAACTTTCCATAGGAAGTCCCCATCAGTGCCTGGCTTGGTGCGGCATGGACCAAAGACCATTGAACGTGTTCGCCATGGACCAAATTTCTCAATGTGTCTCCTTGAGACCAAGGGAAACCGAAGCACTTGGGTGAAACATGCTCAATTAAAGCCGCGGACCTCAAAGATCGAACTTTTGGATTCCGTCCTTGGGTTGCTCTTCAGAACAAAAGGTCCAACCTTCTGTTCCCAGAAAAGCTAGTTGTTTCCAACGGACCTCAAAGGCGATTCAGCCATGTTTTCCGTGGTTTTTGCGCCAGCGAGAACAATCCTTCTGAGTTGCACCCTGGGTAGCTCTCCACGTACCACACTTCGGCGTCCTTCTTGTAACCACCGGCTCCCTGCGAGGTTGGAACGAGCGGCTGGCTTTCACTTCAGCCATGTTCATCTTTTCGCTGTGGAGAAAGCACGCGGGTTTCGCTCCAAATCAATTAACACCACAACAAAAACAAAGGAGAACGTCAAGTTCCAAACCAGCCTTTCAGGGGGAAATGCTGGGAACCTTGCGAAAGAAAAAACAAACAACACAAAACAACAAGGGTGAAACGTAAATGGAAGAATAAGAAAAAGGCCGGAGCGGCGCTGTTCAAATATGCGCCCCAACATGAAAAACACAAAACAACACATGCCCCCCCCAAAGGAAATGGCATAATTAGCCATCTGGAACTAGTTCATCTTCACGTCGGCTCGAGCGATTTCACGAACTTGAACCTGCACAAATGAGGCCCTGAGTCCCTATGTGTTTTTCACTTTAAAGGGTTCCCCTTGGTACCGAGCATAGGCCTAAAACCAAATTTTCCACAAAGGGCCTGACACCTAAGCCTTCATGGCTTGAAGGGCTACCCGAAGACGGCACTACTTGAGCCAATCTGTAACCACTTGCTCGCTCGTTGCACGTTCTTCGGCAAGGTGCCAATCTGTAGTCCATGTACCCGTACGGCCCGTTCCTGGTCACCCCGTGAACACCATCCGTGCAGCCAGAGGCCTCGGGTGGCTTGGTTTTCCAGATCCGAACCATGCCTGATATGGGGTTAGTTGTCCACTTTAGACCCAGAAAACAAAGGTCAACCCTTTTGAGGCCAAGGATAAAAAAAACTAGGCCAGGGGGAAACTGAAAGGCCAACAGGTCCAAGTGAGATTCTGGGGTTGGAGTCTTCAATGAAGCCAACAAATACGCTGTGACCGCCTTTCTAGGCCCCTAAAACATGGGATGGTCACAAGATCCATGGGGAGCCGAGTGAAGGGTCACTATGGCCCAGTGGAGAACAACCCTACTCATCTCAAGCCACCGGACGAATAACGACCACCCAAGGGCACATACCACATGTAAACCAAGATTCCACACTCACACAAAACAAACAACAACACATCGCATAACCAACCAAGGAACGCAGCCAACACGCAACATGGGGAAAGCAGAAACAAACACCAAGGAACGGAGCAAACTTCCAACATGGGAAAAGCAAAACAAACACCAAGGAACGCAGCAAACACCCAACATGGGGAAAGCAGAAACAATCACCCAGGAACGCAGCAAACACCCAACATCGGTAACACACAAACAAGCACCAAGGAACGCAGCAAACATCCAGCATGGGGAAAGCAACAACAAACACCAAGGACCGCAGCACACATCCAACATGGGGGAAAGCAAAAACAAACACCAAGGAACGCAGCACACATCCAATACGGGGAAAGCAAAAACAAACACCAAGGAACGCAGCAAACACCCAACATGGGGAAAGCAAAAACAAACACCAAGGAACGCAGCAAACATCCAACGTGGGGAAAGCAAAAACTAACACCAAGGAACGCAGCAAACACCCAACATGGGGAAAGCAAAAACAAACACCAAGGAAAGCAGCAAACATCCATCCATTGGGGAAAGCAAACACAAACACCCAACATGGGGAAAACAAAAACAAGCACCAAGGACGCAGCAAACATCCATCCATTGAAAAAAAGCAAAAACAAACACCAAGGAACGCAACAAAAATGCAACAAACACAAACACCAAGGAACGCAGCACACAGCCAACATGGGGAAAGCAAAAACAAACAGCAAGGAACACAGAAAACATCCAACATGGGGAAAGCAACAACAAACACCAAGGAACGCAGCAAACACCCAACATGGGGAAATCAAAACAAACACCAAGGAACGCGGCAAACATCCAACATGGGGAAAGCAAAAACAAACACCAAGGAACGCAGCAAACGTCCAACATGCGGAAAGCAAAAACACACACCAAGGAACGCAGCAAAATCCAACATGGGGAGGGCAAAAACAAACACCAAGGAACGAAGCAAACATCCAACATGGGGAAAGCAAAAACAACCACCAAGGAACGCAGCAAACATCCAACATGGGGAAAGCAAAAACAAACACCAAGCAACGCAGCAAACACCCAACATGGGGGATACACAAACAAGCACCAAGGAACGCAGCAAACATCCAACATGGGGAAAGCAAAAACAAACACCAAGGAACGCAGCAAACATCCAACATGGGGAAAACAAAAACAAACACCAAGGAACGCAGCAAACGTCCAACATGGGGAAGGGAAAAACAAACACCAAGGAACGCAGCAAACATCCAACATGGGGAAAGCAAAAACAAACACCAAGCAACGCAGCAAACACCCAACATGGGGGATACACAAACAAGCACCAAGGAACGCAGCAAACATCCAACATGGGGAAAGCAAAAACAAACACCAAGGAACGCAGCAAACATCCAACATGGGGAAAACAAAAACAAACACCAAGGAACGCAGCAAACGTCCAACATGGGGAAAGCAAAAACTAACACCAAGGAACGCAGCAAAAATCCAACATGGGGAAGGCAAAAACAAACACCAAGGAACGAGGCAAACACCCAACATGGGGAAAGCAAAAACAAACACCAAGGAACGAGCAAACACGCAACATGGGGAAAGCAGAAACAAACACCAAGGAACGCAGCAAACATCTAACGTGGGGAAAGCAAAAACAAACACCAAGGAACGCAGCCAACATCCAACATGGGGAAAGCAAAAACAAACACCAAG